AAACGACGCGCTCACATCGCCAGCTTCAGTCGGCGAGATGAGTATGTGGATGACCTGACTTTTGCAGAAAGCCGGAAGGTGAACGACGAGAGTGTGATACCCGCAGCTCTGACTGAATTTCAGGAGTGGTGTTCGGACACTGGTTTGCGCGTCAGGCTCATCTAAGTGCAAAGTGATACGAGTGTCATTCTCACGAGTTGCTCCACCACCCCTCCAATTAGAGCTGAATGATACTATCCTGGAGGAAGTGAACTGTTTAAAGCTACTGGGCGTTATGATCCAGAGCGATCTCCGATGGGATAGCACATATTCAGGATATAACCAAGAGAGCCTCACGCAAATTCTATTTAATTCGCGCACTGAAACGCTTTTTCCGCTTGCCAGTGTAAGACTTATTGACCATATCCGCTCCGTTCACAAGTACCCCCCTCACTGGCAAAGGAAGTACAGTTGGGGGTGCGCGGCCACTGTGTGTACATAGAACAAATCCCCTGGTGTACGCGCGTCACACACAAGGAACGGTGCGCGTCAACCAGCGAAATGTACCTGCCGGTTCGTTAGTGTGACGTCACCTCCAGCACTCTCTGCACGATTGGAACCGGAAGTTAACGCAGTTCGAGCGTTTGCAGCCAATGGGCGCTAGTAATCAGTGGTGCGTGCGCGTGTATGACGTTTTTACTAACGAGCCGGATGGGGCGTCGTTGCTAGGTAAAAGGGCGCCCTCTTTTGGTAGCGCACGGAGCTCATACACGTGTTACATCCGTCCTAGCCCTTGCTGGAGTACTGCGTACCAGTCTGGCACTCCTCAATAACCGCACAACAAAGCAACGACGTAGAGATGATCCAGAAGAGAGCTCTTCGCATTATCCTCTCCGATCACTATGAGAAGTATGATAACGCTCTCCGGGTGACTGGCCTGATATCCTTGAGTGAGCGAAGGGAACAATTTTGTATCAAGTTTGCGAAATCCTTGTATAAGAATTTCAGACCTTGGTTCCCCGAATCACAGAGCTCAATGCGTCAGCTTCGGCACAGTGAGCGACTGAGAGACTTTAAGTGCAGAACGGAGAGACTGCGGAGCAGTACCCTGCCTTACCTAGTCAGACTCATTAATCAACACCTAATGAAATGTAATAAAAAATGGTAACGTCTGGATGTAAAACAAAATGCATTCTTTTTATCACTATGTGTGATTGAAAGGCGTGTAGATGTACAAAACACGGTTCTTTTTATCTAGTCTGGGTAGAATTTTAACATTTTTTAATGCACATGTATGTATAAGAGTCTTTTTAGAATACTTTAATGTCGAACGTATGTATAAATGGTGTTTTTTTTTAAATGATTTCTGTTAATTGTAAATTGTAAACCATCGCAATTCAGTCTTCGGACTGCGAGAATGGTAAGAACAATAAAAAAAAACTTCAATTCAATCAAGGATCTTTTCATTTAACCAAGTTTCTGTGCCAATAAGAATGTCCGGCTTGTGTTCATGTAGTATAGCCAAACATTCAGAAGCCTTATTTTTCAGACTTTGAAAATTGATGTTAATGACACTGAGTAAGGTTCTTCGCTCTAGTGGGTTTCTTAGACTTTGTTTTTGCTGTGTCACGCAGGGAAGGATTTCTCTTCCTGGTTTTACCAAGCGGTTTGGGGGATGATGCAGCAAGGGGTTGTACATCACTCAAAGACTGGTCTGAGTCAAGTGGAGTAAAGGGATTTTCAGTTTCAAAATCAGTCACAATACTAAAAAGCGAACCAGAAAAATTGGGGTGACCACACCCATCACAAACCCATGAGGTACTACAATTAGCCAACAGGTTGTAAGTTTTACTACTCATGTTGATGCAAGCGGCATGATTCCATTTTTCACACTCTTCACATTGGATACCTTTCACTGGATAATCCTACTTCCTCTCCACAAACACAACACGGTGCAGGGGGGTCTTCAAACGAAGAGTTTAATGGAGGGCCTGGGTTTAGGTTGACATCATTTCCAAGTCCAATCAACAAAACATGGGTCCAGGATAGGCCATGAGAATTTTTCAGAGTTTTGATAAATTGTCTACGAGGCAGTAACGCAGATGCAAAATAACTGGTGCTTCTTGTGCCAATATCGTGATCACAATCTGTCAGCCTTATGTCTACGGATGTACTTGCAGTTTTGCAGATCCCATCACTAATACGTGCAAAAGTAAGCAGGAATCCAATCACAAAATAAGTAATGGTGAACTCCATAGAGTTTTAATCCAAGTCAAAAGCTGCAGAAGAGGCAGTAGGAAGTCCAAGTACAAACTTCGATGTCGATCTAAAGATTGCACAGTGGTTTTTAAAAATGGCCAACTTCAAGATTCAATTACACAGTTGACTAAAAATGACGAAATTTGACGAAAATTCACACAAACGACGAACAATAAACCAATACGCAGATCCTTGGAAACATCAAAAGCGATAAAATGGGTTAAAAGACCAGGATGGCCAGAGGAAATGTGAAAAATCAAAGATTAAAAAGCTAAAAATCTCCCGCGAAATAAAAGTCGTCTAGCTCCGACACAGCGCCCTCTATCTAACCTTCACCGACGTCTAAACACTGTTTACTCAGTGTGTCACCTCCCGAGTGAAAGTTGGAAAAAATCACTTGGGTGAAATCAAATTAGGTTTTGCCCTTCACTAGAGGGTGGGAGGTCGTGGGTTCGAGTCCTGTTTGCAGGGCGGAAGTACGAGCGAAGCTCTGCCGATCTAGTCATTTTATTCTTTATCTCTATGATATACAAGCTGATTTACCCGATCATAGATCGGGTAGGGCGTAGTGTTGGGGATGAACATTTGGGGAGTTAAATGTAAATGGGGATCATAGTTAAGGAGACATGCAGTTATAGAAAAGCAATTTCTGTGGTGTGATGCGAGGCAATTTCTGACCACTAAAACCAATTTCAGCAAAAGATCATCTTGTAAAGTTTTGAGTTTGGAGTAATTGAATCAGCTACATGTATTCTGAGCAATAGAATCATTGTTGTAGGCTACAATTTTATTCGGGGAAGAAAAAGTGGGGGGGGGGACCAAACAATATCCCCCGTTTAAAATGGGGGGGGGTCCCCCTGTCCCCCGTCGATTTACGCACATGATAATTATGTACCATGGCAACTGTCTGTAAATGTTCCCGTTGGTCTGTTAAATTGGCATTTTGTGAGGCAGTCGCATTTGGAAAACGCAGTGAAAAGGTTACCGTAGTACACAGGCGAAGGCTGATTGTACAGTTTTGACAATAAATCATAATGCAATAAAACGTAAAGGTGTCATTTGAAATGAAAATGTTGAGTGTTACCATAAAATTACAAACGATTAGTGGAGGAAGGTCATAATTAAGTTTCAGTATTGGACTCTTCAACAAACGTAAACTTGAACTTCTTACAATTTGCGAGACCGTCTTCGAGGAAAAAGTTGATTTAGCTTTTATTGAAGTTGGTTCAACCATCTTTATAAGAGCAAGTTTTACTCGGCCTCCGAGAAATGTTGGCTCCTAAAAGGATCCGAGACCGCGGTCTCCCGCGACACCAAAATGGCTCCACGTCCGTGGAAAAATGTGGGTGTCTTCCGCCGGGTCGGACACTTTCGTCGATTTCTTTGTGAATGCATCGATCCTTCGTTGACCCCAAACAGGCCCCCGAAATTATAACACGACACTGAATTATACGTGTCGGGCAGCGAACTCACAACGCTCAGCCTTGGTGGTGGAAGCATGGAGCTGTAAACACATTATGGAAGCAACAGCACTCTATCACGCGACGTCACATGCTTGCGCTTCAAATAGCGAGCACCGTAGACCCAACCTCGTTTCCAGGGTGTGGAGCAGGCTGCAGTACGCGTTGCCATCGACAGTTTTGCATAGCCCGGAAATACTACGCAGTGTAGACTTTCGATTGGTCAGACCGCGCAAGGCATACTTAATGTGTAGTCCTTCTGAGTTTTCGTTGCACTCGGCGCAGGGGCGGCAAGCGAAGCCTATGAAAGAATAGGGGCACTCGGTGGCCACGCACCATGGAGAAAAAATATTTTACCAAGGTCACCCCATATCACAATTTGGTGAACGCTTTGGCAGTACGGCTGAGTAGAACACGTAAACGAAACCCCTACGTTGACCTCGCTGACCTCGCACAGTCTAGACTCGCAGAAAAGCCAGCACAGGGGGCGGCCAGGCAGTCAACGTGAAAGCGCACACGACGGAAAATTCCTGTGCAAAATGCTGTCACGAAAAATAGACGAAAAGGATCGCCGGTCCGTACGGGAAAATCAGGACGACCCGAAGTGTCCGACCCGGCGGAAGACACCCTCCGTATTTTTCCACGGACGTGGAGCGATTTTGGCGCCGCGGGAGCCCGCGGTCTCGGATCCTTTCATGAGCAAACATCGTCTCGGAGGCCGAGTTAAACTCTCTCTTATATATATAGATATGCTATGACGATATTTCGCTCGTACCCCCCGCCCTGCAAACAGGACGCTGGGATACTCTGATGAATTTACGCTCTGATTGGTTGGATTTTGCGTGAGCAGTGACCTGCGCGTCATCACGGTCATGACTCTGCAAGGTTTAAAACGGCCGTTAAGACTGATTCATTACTCTTTATCAGTTTACAGATGTTTTTTTTTCTTGTTGAAAAGCGTAATAATGTAGGAAGTTTGTAAAACTTATCTGTGTTGTAAATTTACAATTCCCATCACTCGCTCAGGCTCCGTTTTGAATCACGAACGGTCGGATTGCATTATGCGACGCTCAAAATGTTGTCCGCATGGTCCGCAATGAAACAGAAATCACATCCGGTATGGAATGCGCGCAATTCTATGAGAATTTTCGGATAGCATTTGCGCACATTGTCTAACTGCGGTCTTGAACAGCTGCAGCCAGATGCTTTATACATAGGTCATAGGCCACTTCCTTCACAAGATTCTGTGAAGCTCAGCAGAGTATCCCCAGCGTCCTGTTTGTTATTTGCAGCAGGCCTGGACGCGTGGGGCCGGGCCGGGGTTACGAGCGAATGACGATATCACAAACAATCGCTGATAGAGGGCGCTATCACACACAGACTGCATGCTATCCTTCATCCCTTCAATCAACCCGCACCGGAAAGCATCTGCCTGCATTTTGTACTTAATTAGCTGTAAAAAAGCAGAGTTTTTCATTTTTCCCCCTTATGGTAAAAACCTTCACTTTCCACATATTTTCGACTGCTGGTGAAAGTTCGTGCATCAAAGGATACGATCTGAGAGAAGGTACGTCATTTTAAAGGCGTAAGCGTTGCAAAATTTGCATTAGGGATGTTGTGCCCCATTCTTGAAAATCACGCAATCTTAAGAATGTGCGCGCATTCTTAAGAATGAGCGCCCATTCTTAAGAACGAGCACGCGTTCTTAAGAATGAGTGCTCATTCTTAAGATTGGGTGGGAATATCACATGCACAATTTATGAATTTTGCCCAATCTTAACAAACATTACACAACATAATTATGTTAAATGAAATGTAGCTGGAGTTACCCAGCCCTGAGTTTTATCATTGGGTTGTCTATAAGGGCTGGAGCGAATTTTTCTCGTAACTTGTAGTATTTGCAAAAAAATTTGGAAAATGTTCAATTTTGTCCCCGTTACACACTAATTGCAACTGCAACTCACCCCAAACTTGCCTGGAATAACCATTACACAGGTCCTTGAAGTAAAAAACGATCCACGATGAAGATTCAGCCTACAATTGCAGTGAAAACAGGAGGAATAACCGCTAACCTGACAACCTTTCAGGCATGGCCAGGACTGCTATTGGTTTGTGCACAAAAAAAATTGTGTACAATGAATGGCGGTCGATTAACAGGCACAGAGAGCGATCGCTGTCAACTACTCGTTTTTGCCGGCTGCGCTGGCGTTGGCGCGTGACGTCACGCGGAAGCGTAACACCCGATGACTGTTTCATGCACTAGTATAAGGTTTACCACTCGCATCACAGCTTTGGTACTGGAACCGCAACCAATAGTGCATGAAACAGTCATCGGGTGTTACGCTTCCGCGTGACGTCACGCGCCAACGCCAGCGCAGCCGGCAAAACGAGTAGTTGACAGCGATCGCTCTCTGTGCCTGTTAATCGACTGCCATTCATTGTACACAATTTTTTTTGTGCACAAACCAATAGCAGTCCTGGCCATGCCTGAAAGGTTGTCAGGTTAGCGGTTATTCCTCCTGTTTTCACTGCAATTGTAGGCTGAATCTTCATCGTGGATCGTTTTTTACTTCAAGGACCTGTGTAATGGTTATTCCAGGCAAGTTTGGGGTGAGTTGCAGTTGCAATTAGTGTGTAACGGGGACAAAATTGAACATTTTCCAAATTTTTTTGCAAATACTACAAGTTACGAGAAAAATTCGCTCCAGCCCTTATAGACAACCCAATGATAAAACTCAGGGCTGGGTAACTCCAGCTAAATGAAATGTATAGCGGTTAAAAGCATGAAAAGGGAAACAATTTATATAAAGAGGAAAGAAAATGTTCTATGCTTCGGTACTCGTATAACTACGATTATTTGAATCAAATTAAACCTGTTATTATTGCTTTTTTTCTGCCCACTATGGGAAGTTTTGTAATAACGGAGGACTGGGAACTAGTCTGAGAAGTGCTTTGTTTAGGCTAGACAAGTTACAAGTCCCTGTATGTATCATATGCATGCCACGAAAAAAAACGATGTCCAGAAGCTGCCAAAATTTAGCTTGAGTAACTCCAGCTGACATGCTCATATTCATTCACATGCTAGGCTAGCCCGACTGCGTCTGGCCGTACAGTACTATCGCAAGCTCTGTAGTACGGCCAGACGCCCGATGCTTCCACAGAGACTGAATTTTACTTACATACCCAGCCAGATGTTTGTCAGAAAATTATTTTCTTATTTTTCGGGGCATTTTCAAAGGGTTCACTTTGCACTTGAAAATAAAATCGGAAAATCACGCCAAAATATTTTTTTCTTTTAACTTTGTAGCGGGTAAATAAACTCGCGATTTATGAACAGGAGTGTTTATAACTTGATGTTAAAACTGTTGCTCTAGCTAGGCGCTACAGGCGAAAAATCAAAGTGCGCCACGTTAGGGGCCGCGCCACGTTAGGGTACATCCACAATACACGAGGAAAGTCAGGTAGGCTTCGAAGTGCGCCACGTTAGGGAACATGACTATATTTCGGGTACTGGGGAATTTGGCAGATTTTTGAAGCACATTTAGCAGAATTGAGTCATGACCTTACGGTCACCTAGGCCTAGGCCTGCAGCCGTTTTTCCTTGTTCCGGATTTTTCCTAGTTCTGGATAGCTTCAAATAAAAACCTACCTCTTTTAGATAAGTCTCCAATAATTTTTTTTTGGACGATGTGCATTTTGAAAAGGAACATGTAAGGGCACAGCTCTTCCATCGAATGTTTGTTGAATCAAAATTAGTTGTAAAGTCTCTAATTTTTGAAAATTTGCCAACTGACTGTATGACTGTATGCTTTTGCCTAGTTCCTGAAAGCGCGTGCACTTACGACCCAACTACACGTACGCGCGTTAATCGATTTTGTGTGACGTATCGTATTCTGTGCTGGGTCAAAGATTTTCGGTCCGTGCGTGAGTTCGAGCCATTGCACTGCAGACAAAAGTTTCAAAATCATTTACATTTTTTTCTCTTTTTGAAATTTGGACTATTTTGCGCACAGGCGTATAAATACCAATTTTTATTTTTGAACAATGTCTTACTCTTGGGGTAGAAATTTGGATTTTCGTACACGGTTCACGGTTGGTGCCGTGCGATTCATCACACCTTGTGCGTTCACTGTACATCACTAACATCTTGCGGTGATCGCCATCTTTATTTTCGTGTACTAGTTTGGTAGGTCAATTCATTTAAAAGTGGAATTTGTTCCCTTAAGAGGAACCGGGCCCATTTATGGAACTAGAGTAATTCCAGCTAGCTGACATGCTCATCAGATGTGAATTCCTGATAAGCATGTCAGCTGGAGTTACTCAAGGTGGCTTAATGGTAACCCTAGTCTATGGCCCACACTGGAGTAGACTCTGCATTAGACCCGTGAACATGGCTATACATAACCACGCTCTAGAGTTTCGTAGAAACACTGGGCGCACGAGATTGTACAGGTACCCAGACCCGGACGGCTCCTACCATTTCGCGTGTGCATGACTCGGAGTACCAGCCTACCATGCGTGACCTCAGAAAATCAAAAGTTTAGTCTCTCATACATTTGTTGTCGTGTCCAGGTATTTTTTTTTTCCCTCAAATTTCTTGGAAATGCAAGAACCTACACTCGCGTGAATTCACAGGAAGCTTCATAAGTATGGCGAAATAAAAAAAAAAACATGTTTAGCGTCCTGCCTTTTTGAAACTCCTTTTTTTCCACTCCAAAATGGCCGCCCTATTGGGCTATTTTTTAAGGTGGCCGCCACTTCTTTTTTAAATGGCCGCCATTGGACTCAGGAAATGACATTACAGCTTTACATGGGCTAGATGCAACAGATAAAGGGGCCAAAATGATATCACTGCTGAAAATTTATCATTTTTTTGCGGTTTAAATATAAAAAAAGGGGGAGGCGGCCTCCAAAAAAGAAGCGGGGGGGGGGTGTTAGATATGTTTTAATTTTTATTTCGCCTAAGTACTTAAAAATACTGGTGAAATGACATGCGTGTGATAAATTTGAGTGTTTTACGTGAGGACTTTACAACACCACACTCACTCTGCATATGCTGGGCAGTGTTGTAGTCGAGTACTTTTTTCCGAGTACCGAGTACTGCCGAGTACTTAGGTTGCCGAATACGAGTACGAGTACTTGTACTTCCGAGTACAAGAACAGGTCTCCGATTACGAGTACTTGTACTTCCGAGTACAAGTACTTGTACTTCCGAGTACGAGTGCGAGTACTCGCATTTCCGAATATGGCCATACGGCAAATGGTTCATTGTGTGTAATTGGCCCAGGCCCAGTCAGACCGATATACAGACCCACTCACGGCTAGCTGTTAAATGTGTTTGTCTGGACATGCACAGAAGAAAATCAGGAAATCTTGATTTCTCAACAAGCCAATCAACCATTTCAAACTGAAAGTATCGATAAAATAAGGCCATGGTACATGTAAGTGAATGTTCATCGCATAATGCGATGAGCATTGGAGCTCGAGTTACTGAATCTAGAGTTCCCCGTGCTTCCTTCTTGTGAAATTTGTCTCTTATTAAAAATTGATTTGTCCACCCATGGTCAACCGTAGCAGTTCATGACAGGCAGCTACAACGTCGACCCCAGGGTGTCAAACAGTATGCGCCCATCACTACCTGCTCTCTCACCCTGGTATTGGATCATTTGCATGTGCAAGATTTTTGAACACGTATGCAAATGAGGAATAGTCTGGTGCCTGGATATGCGTTACAATAGCGTTTGTTTCTGTATGCGGTGTCTGGGGTAAAAACAGAGTAATTTCGTTGCAGTGCGAGCGCGGCGTGAGTTACAAAAACTGTTACGATTTTATCGAGACAACATGCAGTATCATATTTCATAAGAATATGAGCAAATTGGAAAGGAAATTAGTATTTTCGAGAAGTCGTGGACAAATGATAGCAAAAACACGTACTGCACGTTGTGAATAATAGCACCAAGTACACGATAAAAATCCATTACTAGCCAATTGCGGTATCGAATCAGGATACAGGAAGAAAGTTTCCTATCCAGGGCTTACTATTGGAAACGTGGTTGGAAATAAAGTGAGCACTGGGGACGAGGTCGAGGCAGCTATAGTATAGTACTAGCCAAGTATAAGTAGTCTGGTTCTCCGACCAAAATATTTCCCTTTCTTTAACGTACACACGTGAAGGGCACCACTCTTGGTATATAAAAAAAGCCAGCCAATCACAGTGCCGCACGCCTCGATTGAGCATACATCATCAAGACGCCCGCACTGTGATTGGCTGGCTGTTCTGATCCCACACGCAATTTTTTTTTCCGATATGATACCGCCATAACCAGATGCGGTGCCTTTCATGCGTGTACATTAAAGAAAGGGAAATATTTTGGTCGAAGATCCAGTTTAAACATTAGGCTGTTGATTAGTTTAAGTGTACTGTAAGACAATGGGGTCAGGGAACCAGACGAACTGTGATTGGCCTGTCTGATGCAAACCCTGTCAATCGCAAGCGATCTTCATGAATGTGTAACTTCTCCATGTTGCTCAGTACAGAACACAGATTTTTGTCATCATTGGGACCGA